AAAAAGTTCCATTCTTGAGGCTCCGCTCAAGGTCAACAGCCTCTTTCTTGCTTCCTGCTGAACTCTCTTCTGAGATCACTCCCAATCATCCTTTCAAATTAAAACAAGATCTCCCTCCTTTTTTTTCAGTTTGGTTAAACCTTTTTTTATTACAATTTTCTGTTTTTCTTACTCTGCAGATAAAATAGACATTAACTGATTCTTAGTTTTCTCTGCCTTGGATTAAATCACATCTCTTAGATGTTTATCGGTATTGTGCAAAGCATATATTTTAAAAATAAACATTAAGAGAAAGTTTAATTACATAGAAGCAGAAAGAGGCAGGATCAATATATTTGGGTATTATTCTATAAAATTCTCAGACAGCTTGGCATCATTGCTTATATCCCACAGCTTCAACAAGAAAAAAATTATGTGAAAGAATTGTAGCACAATATAGAGATCAATAGAAACACAGAAGAGTGACCATAAAATATAATTCCTCTTCTGTGCTTTAAAAGGTTATAGTCATGGGCTTTGACTGTCTGGCAAATGCTCACAGGTATGTCAATTTATAATAAGGTAAGTCAATTTATAATATGGTAGTTATTCCTTACGTTTTAGAGACAGAAGAAATCAGAAATGTTGGCACCAGAGAAAGCAAATTAGAGGGAAACAGAAACATGTATTTTCCCTTATTGAAATGGTGAGCAGAGGCTGTGTTATGTTTGAATAATCTTTTCATTCATGCTCTTGCTTCAATCTCTCACCCCTAAGATGTATGTAAAAAATTCAAAAGACAAGTCTGGGCTGAGGGTAAAGCAGATGGTATCCATTTTCTTATGATAGAAGGAAAAAAACCTACAACAATTATAGATGCAAGTCTCTTTCCACTTGCAAAATAGAAATTTTGTAGTGCTCAATCTAAATATTGTGGCCTCATATTTAGGAGTTTATAAACAGATGCTCTGGGCTTCAGACTTCCTGTGAGTTAGTCTCTAGGACTTTTAAAGAAGCTATGTAGAAACTGGTGGAATATTTGATATCTCCCTAGCTTCAAGGACCCAGACTATCCATATGAATGAGAGGGAAAATCTCCACTTTAGAATTGCTGGCAGGGCTGGCAGGGCTATAACTAGGTCGGGGTGATCAGACTCTGCCACAAGACACCCAAATTTAGACAGCACAAGTTTAAGCAAAAACAAAACAGTTTAAGGCAGTGTAAAATTTTGAGGTCCTCAGCGAATTTCCACACTACCTCTCTAGTCACAATGCTACTAGCTCAACTTTGGAGCCAAGGCAGCTCTCCTGGGAAAGGACAGAGACCGATGGTGCTAAAAAGCCAAGGTTAAGGGTAGAGACCACTCTGCCCTTTTACATCCTGAGAGCGTGGGGCTAGGGTCATCTCCTCCTTTCAACTTGCCTCACCCTCCTCCTAGCACATAGTGGAATGAAGTTGCTAGTTATATGTACCGCTGACTTTATTAGAGGCTTTGACCTAGGTTGCAAGTACCTTCAAATTGTTAACCCACTTCTACCACTTCCAGCCCTGATGTGTGCCCAACAAAATTCATATAACCTGAGAGTCAACCTATATGATGGGAAGATAAAGAAAGAAAAAGCACAATATTAGTCTCAGTCCTTATTCCTCCACAAGCTTGTCCTCAAGTTCATATAAACGTCCTTAACAGCTCTTGATCTTTGGAATTCTACAAACATAGAGAATATATATTACCTGGTGCTGGTGGGAAAGTATTTACACGACACATTGAACATTTCCTAAAGTTTTCAGCGGACTGGTAACGTTCCCCTCCCCCTTAGGTCCCTCCTGACAAGGATTTGTCTGTGAAAAATTTCACAAAGTCGATATTTCAAACAAAGAAATTAAAACTCTGGATGGCTGACTTTCTATTAATAAAGAAATCAAAAACTGTATACAATAAGGTTACAAAACTGGAATATATAACTGCTGACGAAAAGAAATGGTATCAATATTGTTTCCATTTTGAATCATCTATAACACTCTTGTAAAGCCCTTGACTAATCCAAGGATATTTTTGGCAAATTTAAAATCCCAGGATTTTTTCAGTTATTTTCCATTTCAAGCCATGTTATCCAGATTGCTTCAGGTACAAGTTATATATAGCCTAAGCAATTTTTTTAGCCAAGAGAAAGACATGAGACATCACAAAGCCAAACACAGTATTGTCTGAACATGTGCCATTTGGGATCATTTACTTCCTACCCTTGTGAAGACAGATAAAAGTGAATTGTACAGAAGCAAAATCCAGTGAGCACTTCCTTAACTTCTTACATGAGAATTATGCAGTTTAGATGCACAATTTTGTATAAACTTTTGGCACAATACTCTATACAAAGCATATGTGTCTGTGAGTCATTGTCCATATAAAAATCTTTCATATAAACATTACTTTTCTTAATTATGGAATGACTTAATCCTTCACCTATCTTAATTTTACTGAAGTGTGATTAAAATTAAAGAGGCCATCCTTAGTCATGATCTTTGGAATCAATGCAATTCTCAAATCAAGGCTAACAAAAACTAAAATCCTATCAGGATACTAGTTTTTAGCCTCTTCACCCTTCCTTTTGCCCCCATGGAGCAGCCAAATTTTTATGACCACACAACTATTTTTTAAATCAGTCTGATGGTACAAAGAGATGCCCCTTCTTGGCAGGTGCATCATCAAAAGTGATTAAAGATTTTCTTATTGAGTGTCTTCGGAGCTGAATTTTAAGGGTCAGTGATTTCAAAATGTAATTGATCAAATCTGGAAAAGTACCAGGCCCAATTCTGAAGGTCTTAATTTCAGATAAACAAAGAAAGATAGTGGGAGCTTAGAATTGAAGATCTTAATAATAATAGAGTATTCCAGAGCACTCTACAGGATGATTCTAGCAAGGTCCTTACTTAGGAACACATAACACAGTAAGGATAGAGATGCCTAACTTCATGACACAAGCACACACACACATACACACACACACACACACTTCTATCTAACCTATTATGGCCAAAAGGCATATGTATGGCATATCTAGTGAGTTGTAATCTACACTAAGAAAATATTTTCATTAAATTGTAGTCATAGTTTGAATGCTGTGAGGGTGTATGTCTATCTTTAAGTGAAGACAAAGTGGAACAACGAAAATTTCATTTTGGTCTAATCCAGGGTGTCTCAACCTTGGTACTACTGACATCTCAGCCTGGATAATTATTTTGTTGTGAGAGGCTGACTTGTGCATTGTAAGATCTTTAGCAGGATCCCTAACCTCTACTAATTACATGCTATCAGTACCCTCAAGTCATGAAAATAAAAAATGTCTCTGGTCTCCACACATTGCCAAATGTCACCAGAGAGGGATAAGGAATCATCCCAGCTGAGAAGAACTGGCCTAATCAAACATCACCAGCATTGGCCATTTCTGTTTTGCCCTTCAGAATCCACATGAAATAGTTTCACAAATTTGTAAACTAAAAATTACATATAAATCTACTACATAAATCTATCCCAGGCATCATAACAAGATGAAAAATTTCCACACAATATTTTTTCTTTTCCTTCCTTCCTTCCTTCCTTCCTTCCTTCCTTCCTTCCTTCCTTCTCCTTTTTTTTTTTTTTTTTTTTGAGGTGAGATCTTGCCCTGTCACCCAGGCTGGAGTGCAGTGCATGATCTTGGCTCACTGCAACCTCCACTTCCCGAGTTTAAGATATTATAGTTCAGATAATATTTTCAGTGGAACTGTGATGTATGGGCTTTATGGAGCTCATTAATTACATTTTAACAATTAAAGTACTAATCTGAGTAACACATACTTTATTAACTTTTATATGTGTTTTTGTTAAGGCTTTTACATTTTTAATGGTATACTAGTGAAAATGTGTTCTTTTTTAGGTAACTACTAAATAATAATAGCTCAAAAGAGGAAACATATTCAAAGTTTCACTCAAAGTGAATATTTAACACAGTTTCCTCATGGTACATTCTCACGTTTTTGTTGCTGTATAGCAAACCAGTTCTCCAATAGAATCAATACTCTCAAATTCTTAACTTTCTAAGTAACAATATAATCTGCACTATCAACAAGTCATATTTTAAATGCTAATTTTTATAATGACTTCAATATTTAATTGCATTTAGAAATGGTCTACTTCAATGATGTAGAATTTTGCCAAGGGCTTTCTTACGTTGATGTCATGTTAAATTAACCCATCAAAAAATACCAGCCATTATTGTTTACATAGTAACATGGTATGCTAAGTTTTTACTGTTAAAATTAAACTAGAACTTTTTGGTACAATTTACCTAAAATTTGGTGGCATTTAAAATAAGAAATTGAGTTCTAGTATCTCATTTTAGCTTAAGACATTCCAAAGTATGAAGACAACGAGAGGCTTCCTTTACCCTTCTCTGAAATGTAAACACATTTGTATGCTTGTAATCTGTCAGTAGAGTTTTCTTGCTGTGTATCAAAGCTAGTGTAAAAAGCTAAGTAGTCCTACCTGCTACTAAGGAAATAAATAGCTACTAATTCACATCTTTTTACTTGTACAAACTATACCTTGTGTGACCATGCTCAACACCAAGCCCATTCATGAGATTTTGGGTAAAATCAGGATGAGTAAGATAATTCTGCTCATTCCGGGTAAGCATTTGGGGGTAAGACTTGCATCTCATGCTGCTGTGGGTATTATGTGCAGTAACCAGTGAGCTTGGTTGTCTTATATCAACATGTAATGGATAGTGCATAACACATTTGTGATTCTCCAACACTGGTTACAAATTTTTGCCATACCAGGTCATATGAGTTCAGCTTTCATAGTTGCACAGAAATGAACTTTAACTTTGTGTGTGTGTATGTGTATGTGTGTCTACATGTTTGTATATATGCATTCTTGCATGTATGCACACATGTCCTTTATCTTGCAGTGAATATGCCACAGTAGATAGAAAAGGGATTTGTCTTCTGGTCTGTCTTCCACAGAGACTAAGCTTTCCATCATTGTGCTTTACTGTATTTCTGAATATTGAATTATGAAGACAATTATGCCAATTTACAAATAAATAATGCACTCATATTGGTAGTCTTTTGCACTAAAATAAAAATGACAATGCAAACAGGCTTACATAATGCAGACCTAAAATTGGGTTTATGTCCTAAATTCTGAGGAAGGAAAGTGGCTCCTGTTATCTAGACTATGAATCAACACAGTCTAAATTCAATAATGCTTCACATTGTCTCTGTAGAGTTGACAAAAGAGGAAGAAGCAATTCTTATGTAAAATTTTAAAAATAGAGGGGAGCTATAGTTAATATAGACGTGGCTCAACAAATCACAATTATCAGCAGTAACATTTTGTATCTTTATTACTCAGGAAGGGATTTTTTAAATCTACCCACCCACTTCCCCTAAAGAGGGCAAAAATAAATAATAATTTTTTTAAAAACCTACAATTCTAAAGCCAGTCTTAATAAGACAGGTTCTTATTAATATTAAGCCAGTTTGTGTTGACAATCAGCAACACTTTTACCCCAACATTTTCTTTATTCTATATTGATTGGTTCCTCAGCCCTAACAACTCAAGTCTGTCTTGTTTTTGAACTGCATCTTCTAGATTTGAACCATGTGCTTTACCAACAGCATTTCACCAGCATTTTACTAGTCGCAAATCTGCCATGTGCTATAAAGTATTTCACAGGATGTTTCATTTCTTATTTGTCCTCCAAGCCAACACTGAAAGTAAAGTTTTGCTTGGATCTTCATCGTTCCTTTCCTGTTTTTCCAAGGGCCCATGCAAACCCATGAAACAACTTGACCATTCCCTCTTGGAGTCATGTAGAAAACCTAACAAAAATACCCTGGTTCAGTCCTTTCTTCTTCCATTGTCCCTAGGAAGTGGGCTGGAGTGAGGCATCTTCACATGGGTCCAACTGCATTCTCAGTGCACCGATTTTATGAAGATACCAGAGTTGGAGAAATTCCTCGGGCATGGCATGGAAGCCAGAAAAGGGTAAGACGTTATCATAGTAGTGGTGGCTGATGGGCTGCTCATGCATATTCACAGAGAAGGGCCAGAAGCCATAGATGGCCACCTCTTCACAAAGACCCAGAGCTGCGCTCACCAGAAAAAGTCCTGTGGACAGGCGCTTGGCATGGATTCCTCTACTTTTCCAGAACTTTCCAATGCTACGCAGAAAGTTGGGGTTGGCAAACAGCACTGTTTGATTGGCACCAACATCTGACAGTGTATAATAAACCCGCAAAGATGGCTCTGTTCCTGTCTTCATAGAAAAGGCAGGCATGTAGATGTAACTGTGGTTATAGATTTTCATGTTGTCCACAAATGTCTTTCTGGACCACAGAAGGTTCTGAAACCTATTAAGGAAAAAAAAAAAAAATTGGTTCAATTAAACCTAGAGAAAAAGAAACTCACTAAAACCCACTCTGCTGTCTTTTGGTGACCGTGATACCTCAAATCATCTCAATGAAACACATAAAAAACACTTTATTCGTATTTAAAATCATCCTTGAACTTATCAATTATCTCTCATCAAATAGCCTGGCTTTTCCCCGACCCCAACTTCTTAAACACAGTTAACATTCGTTAATGGGGCTCCCTCTGAACTAAAATGCATTACACATTTGTTCTCTTCCAGAATGTTTCTGCCTGAAATGTAAAATGGTTTAATTCTCATAAATTCCTAAAGGTTGTTGGCTGGAATTTTGATGAAAGGTACTTAGGCGGTCTAACGTAAGCACAGGAGTGGTTCCTTCATCTGCATATCAAAGGAATCACTTCTAAGATGACTCTTCCCATTGAAATTCTATGATTCTATAAATATTCAGATTCTTCAATGCTACAACTATAATATTACATGGAAAAAGAAAAGCTTGTTACTATCACAAAATAATGCAGGGAGTTGCCCATATTGCTTGCTCCAAAGAACTCTACTTTCCTATGTTCTTTCAGTTTGGATTACATGAAATTCTAATGCAGTTGTAGAAACAAAGATACAAATAAGTACAATATAATGTTCTAAATACAATGTTCATATTTGTATAAAGTACTATGGAATACAGATGAAAAAAATAATTCTGACTTGAAAGAGGGTGTGTGGTCCAAGAAAGCTACAGAGCCGGAATAACATTTAAATACACTTCTTATAGGGAAGCAACAGAAAGAACAGCAACTATACTCGAAGAGACACTTTGGTTATAGGCAAGAGTGCACAATAGACTGAGGCAATGACAAGGATTCCCTGTCCCTAGAATGTGGGAGGTGCTAATGGCAGGGGCAGTGGCTGAAGACAAGGCACTCTTCAAAAAACCTCTTATGTCTGTTTTGTTTGCTTGAACGTCACATGTGGTGATGGGAAATCTTCACAGCAGTTACTGCTTACAGCACTTATGACAACTGTCAGTCTGTGTAAAAAAAAGGTACTCTAATAGACTAGAAGATTACCTTGGAAGGAAGTGGCTGGTAGCCTGGAAAGCAGGTAAGAGGTTGCTAATGTACTCAAGTTAAAAAAAAAAGAAAGAAAGAAAGAAAGAGAGAGGGAGAGAAAGAGAGGGAGTGCGAAGGGTAGAGGGAGAGAAAAGCAACAAAGTAGACTAGGGCCTTGCAACTTTTAATTCCTTTGACCACGGGAGCTGCCCATCTTGGGTTATGTACAGGTGGAGCAGCAACATCAAAGAATGAACTGAGCCACAACTAGCAGAGGAAAGTCTGGTCTGACATATTGGCAGGCTCATCATAATTAGGTGAAATTAAAGTTCTGAATACACAAATCCACAGGATTGTATGTAGAAATCAGTGTCATTTACTCTGCCTGCCCAGAAAGGTATGGTTCTTAAGGCCAGAAGGAAGGGAAATCTCTCAAGTTGTCTTCATATCCTTGATCCAGTAGCCTGCTTTCTTGATCCAGTAGCCTGCTTTATCAATTTTCCCTGGGCCCTGATACAGAAGTAATAACAGGATCTTTAGTTAGAGTCACTTTAACTTAGAAGGAGCCACGGAAGCACATTCAACCATATCTGGAGCTGGGCCAGCCTCTCTCCCAGGAATACAAATTCCTGCTTCCCAACTTCCAGATGGGCTCTGCTCAGCAATTCTTTGCTCCCTTCCATTGCCCACTAATGTCTTCCACTCTCTTCCTGAAATACTAGTGCTTTCCCAATCATCTAGACACACCATGCAGATAACCTCCTACTCCTTTTGAGCCATTGGTTCTCACACTTTAGTTAGAATATCCCAGAAAGTTCACTAATATCACAGCTTCCTGGGTTCTGATGAGAGTGATCCAGGGGCTGAATTTTTGCCCAGTACTCCTGAGTAATCTGACACAGGTGGGACATACTACTTATTTAGAAGATCAAAGCATCAGTGTAAGCTGTCTGGCTTTCTGCATCCATCCCTCACCACCTTTTTCTTTATATCTTCTAATGACATCCTTACTGCCATTCTAAGAAGTGCTCCATCTTCGCCTCTGTATCTTGAGACAAGCTGTTTCACATATCCTGAAGAACTCATGTTCCAAAGTGGGTCTCTCCTCTTTAAAAAAAAATTCAATCTCTCCATCTCGACTGAATTATTTCCTCTGTCTTCCACATATGGTTAGAACTTTCCCCTTCAACTTTACTAAGGTATATTTTACAAATAAAAATCGTGTATATTTAAGGTGTGCAATGTGGTGTTTTGATATACACATACACTGTGAAATGATTACAAAAGCAGGTTAGAACTTAAAAACACTCTTCTTAATATGCTCACACTGTTCCCAGTGCTACATTCTCGTTCTGTCATTTCACCATCAACCTTCTAGAGCAGTTAGGATACCTCTATTGCTTTCCTTGCTTGCTTCCATTCCCTCCTTATTCCTGTACAGAACGGCTCCCATTTCACAGGGCCCTGCTGGCTGATGGAACTGATCCCTGTCTCTGTAGTGGACTACATACTAGTGGAGAATTACATGCTGCTTCAATAAAGTCAGGATGATTGATTTTGTGTTTCCTGTCTTAAAGCCAACTGATTAGTCTCGAAGGGAGGAGCTTTCTCTCTCTGAGTTTTCACTTTGAAATGAACACACAGCTTGAATTTACTACAGTCCTAATTTTATTGACACTGTTATTATTTTTACCTCTCCCATTCTGTGACAAATGACATTAGTATTTAAGAATTTGATTCAATTCAATAATTGTTATGGTATACTGAATATGTTTAATAATATCCTGATCAAGAGTTTAATGGGGTTTGTATTGAATTTTATTACATTATCACAAAATTCAGCTGGAATAAGAAAAGAGGGGTGCTCCAGTTTGTCTCTCCAGCCTCATACTCAGCTACTCCTCATGTCCTCACCCTATGCCTCAGCCATCCCTGTGTGTGTACCTGTCCACAATTTTTATTGCATATATAGATTCATTTTTGCTGATCTAGTCACTGCCCTGGTGAAGTTGTGTCTATAAATCAAGACCCAACTTAAGCTTTCCTTTATTAGGCTTATTCCTTCCTTCCAACTTAAGCTTTCAAAAGTCTTCTTTGAATTCCTGAATAATAATTGCTCATACTCTCTAAGACTATGTACTCCTTGAAAACAAAGGATGAGTCCTATTCATCCTTTAATTTTTATAACCTAGCTCAGAATATTTGTGTACTATATGAATAGAAAACTACTAAACAATAATTTTTAAACATAAAAAAGAAATCAGACCAGCCTATGAATTAAGAATAAAAATGAAGTAAGATCAGCCCATATATTATTAAAATAGAAATGATTAATTTATAATCAATATGAGATAAAAGGAAAAACAAAAATAGAGTAGAAAACACAAAAGTGTACCACATTTTACAAAGGAATTGAATATGTGATAATGGGGGCAAAACCAATAAGATTTTTCTAATTACTTAATAAACAATATTGAGATAGTTAGCTAACAATTTGGAAATCTGAGAGGGAACAGATTCATACTTCACGAGACAATTACTAAATAATTTTAAGATAAGTAAGATAGATATTTAAAATCTAGCCGGCAAAGCGACTCAGGTCTACAATCCTAGCACTTTAGGCAGCTGAGGTGGGAGGATCACTTGAGGCCAGGAATTCGAGACCAGCCTGGGCAACCATCTCAATAAATTATGAGTAAATATTCAGTAAAATCTATGCTACAAAAAAATCTAAAAAAAAATTGAACTTATCAGACATTTGCAAAATATATTTCAACAAAGGAAAATATTGACAACATTGATTATGTCATGATGTAAAATTTCATTACCATGAAGAATAAGATAACTAAAGTAAAAAGGGAATTACTCCAAGAAATATTTACAGCAAATATGACAAACATAAATCGGTATCAATAAACTGTAGTGTCTGAATATATTGATACATTGATATGAAAATAGACAATCTAGAAGGAATTTCAATTAAAAATGTTAAAGCATTTGGTTACAGTTACAAGATGCAAACTGAATACAAAAGGGAATATTAATAGAATAGAAAGAAACACAATAAAGAGTGAGGGTCCAGCTCTCACCTCCTATGACAAATCTCTAGAAATAGGGGAAAATCAGTTTTTAAAAGTCCATCTCCATTCTGAAAATGAAAAAGAAAGCAAACCTCAGTGGATCCTGAATCTAGGTTACCTCAAAAAAACAGACAGCTTACCAAAGGAAACCAGAGCATGAAGTAACTTGTTGAGCATTCCTCTAAAAGGCAGCAGTAGCAGTGCCCTATGCCTGGAGGCAGGAGATACTAGCGAAAGTGGTGTCTAACAGCAATCAGCAAGGTTATTTTTCGGATTATGGGGTAGTAGAGACACCCAGGTGGGCTGAACTCTAAAATCCTGCACTGATCAATTATCACCGTGTATGTGGAAGGAGGTGTCAGTTTCCAGGCAGGAAAAGTGGGTATGTGTCCAGAAAGCTGGCTTATCCCAGGGAAATGGAATTCTCAACTCATACAATATCAGCAGTCAGGCCTATAGTTCCCAAGTGGAATACTGACACTGAGTAGCCCAAGGAGAAGACCTACAAGCAGTAACATTTGGGAACCGCCCAAGAGAAAGCAACATTGCCACCTTCTCAACCCAGAGTAAAACCCACCTGTTGGTAGGTACAGTCTCTGCATAGAGCTTCCAGTCACCAAACAAGAACACACAGGCAAGCTCAGAAGACACTGATGGATAGTGTCCAACACAAGAGTCAGAGCAGAGGGACTCACATTGAAGGGGCAGAGGAAAACTCTTAAACATCTATAATTAGTTTGTTTACTCATGCTCATGGCTACCACATCTGGACTAGGATGATATAAAAAGAAAAAGCATTTAGGTAATAAGAAAGTGCTGCTGGCAATTTAAAAAATATAACAAAAGGTGGA